GTGTGTTCTCTCGCTGCTATAAATTCAGGTCGATCTTGAATGCGCGCATCTCAGCAATGAGTTTATTCTGACAGTTGAGGACGATTTCATATTGCGAACGCAGCGGCGTCTGCGCATCTGCTGCCTGGGTGTCCAGATCTGGCCAACAGGACCTGTGGTGCGGCGAACTTGCCCGTCTGTGGTTTTACGTGAGGTAGCGTCTCTTGGGATGGACAGAAGTGGCACCATCGGCCATGTGAGGGGCCACTCGTTCTCCAGAGTGAGTGCGGCAATCTGCACGCCCACCACGAATGTGCAGAAGCCACCTGCTCCCCAAGAGGTCACAGGGTCCGACCTGTCAATGGTAGGCAAGAGAAAGGATGTAAAATGCCACACTTATTTTAGATATTTTTTCCCGATCCCCAGTAATGCTAAATCTGTCTTTTAGAAATATGTGTTTCCTCACCTATCCATCATTGTGCTTATTTTTCTATTAGTCCATTTGTGCTATTTTTATTGATTTGTAGAAATTCCTTCGCTGGCCTTCATTCTAATATTTGTCAGTTGTGTGTATTGTGGAAACATTTTCTTCTACTCTGATGAGTCTCTTCTTTCTTGAAGATGTTTTGGATAAACATGTCTTAATTTTAATATAACCAAATATATCATTGTTGTTGTTGCTATTACTATTGTGATTTTATTTGTGTAGTGAGTACATTCTGTGTTTTATTTAAGAAATAGTCTTCTAGTCCTGGATTCGCCTCCGATCTGACTCTTGATTTGTTCTTTTGTGTCGGATGATGCTGTGAGGGCCCCTTCCTCATTCTCCTGGGCCTTATCCAGGTTTTGCTGGAGGGTAAATCATTATCGGCTTCCTCGCCTTTGAGGTTGAAGCTCTTTCACGTGGGCTGCTAGGGCGGGGCTGAGGCCCCAGTTCCAGCTGTGTGACTGGGGGCGGGGGAGGCAATCTTGGTGCTGCCCCATGGCCCTGTGCTGCCCCCTGCGGCTGTAACCCGGGTTGGTGCAGTTCTCAGCCAAACTGCACGCTGAGAAGCAGAGACAAGGCGTGGGCTGATGAATTTCCATTGTTTTAGGCATCAATCATTCCAGTACCTCTTATGGTATTCATACCCGCCCCCCTGCAATATGGAACCTTGCAAGCGAGCTCCTGGCCTTTGCATGCAGCCTCTGGAACTATAAGTCTACATTTTCTGCGAAACGGGAGTCTGAGTATGTGATGAAGCGGTGGGCATTAGGAGGCCTGGAAGCGATCGGCTGGACAAGGGAAGGGAAGGGAATGACCTTTGACATTGACCCTTCGAAACGCCCAACATTAAATCAGAGAGCAGAATATTCTCCAGCTGGTTCTAGTTAGCCACTTATAGGAAACCCCAAAGTAAACCACAGTTTTTGGTTTTGTTTTTGTTCTGTTGTGGTCCTGAGAAGGCTTTTTTTCCCCTCCCCAAGTTCTCGTGAA